GGATTGTGGCATGGCCATCTTCCCTGGAGAGTGATTTCTTGCTTTCTGTCTTTCTGTCTCTCCAGCAAGGGCACATGCCCTATAGCAAAAATCACTGTTAAAGAAAAAAAAAAAGATCACTTGTGTATGTGGATGGGGGGGTGCAGAGGGACAGACAAGCACCCCTCAGTAGGATCCCCTCTCCCAGGCATTGCATCTCATCAGGCTCTTGGGCACACACGTGCCCATGCAGCGTGTTTGCAGGCTGACTTGAAGATTGGAACCTGCCACCTGCCACGAGGCTTCCAGTGCTGCCGTTCAGTTTACTACCAGCTGCACCACCAGGCTGGGCCCCAATTTTCTATATAGAAAAATACCCTAGAGGTCACAGGGGTTCCTGTTTGCTGCATTCCCGGAACCACGCTAAGCCCGCTGTGCTTAGCCCTACTCATCTAATCCGACCAGCCTCAGGACGGAGTCAGCATTATTGTCTCCATTTTCCAGGTGAGGAAACTGAAGTCCTGGGATGCCTAAAGGAGATTTTGAACTCCTCTTTTCCTTTAACCGTGTGTCACAAGCATCTTTCCCAGCCTCAGCGAGCTCTCGTTCTTTTTAATGACTGCGCAGTTGTCCACTCGATAGTGGACCATCGTCCCTTTAGCCAGTCCCCATCTGATGAACACTTAGGTTATTACTGGTTTTCCATGGAGAGTGTTGAGCAAGGGAGGTCCCTGGTTGACCGTGGTTTCCAGAGAGGAGTTGCAGGGAGGAGGGTGACCTGGAGGGGCCACCGCTACTGTGTGCAGGCCCAGTGTGCCAGGGCGCCAGCCAGAGGAATGCAGATAGGGTAGGGGAGGGTTGCATTGAGGAGACTTTCTGCACAGACTGAGCCTTGCACAGGGCCTGGCACACAGTAGGTCTTCTGCAGATATTTGGCTACGGGGGAGTGTAGTGGTGATGGGAGTGGAGGGGGAGTACAGGCTTGGGGGGATGCTAAGTCACTCTGGGACCTGCCGGGCATGACTCACTGGGGACATGGCGAGGGATCAGCAGAGCCACATCCTGCCGCTCTCATGGGTAGTGCAGGCCTCTGTCTGGGAGGCCTGTGGTCAGGCGTGGTTTCCCAGAGGAAAGGGGCCGCCTTCCTTGGGAACCTCAGGCACCCTAATATGGAACCCCCCACTGCTTGCCTTTGGCCCCCAAGGATCTATCTCCACCTCGGAGTGTGCAAGTGACGGAAGAGATGTGGGGGGTTGGCCCTTCTCAAATGGGCAACTCACGGTGACTTGGCCTTTGGGCCCGTGGACCAGGAGGTCTGCTGACAAGGAGACTGAGGCCTGGAGGGAGGCTGTCCTAGGTCCTGCAGCACGGCAGCAGCCCCCCTGGGACTAGACGCCACTCTAAATGGACCTGTCTTTCTCTGTGCACGTTCTGCTTTGCAGGAGCTTGGATCTCTGGGCTTTCTCTGGGAGCAGGGCTGGGCAGCCTCATCCACTCACCCTCTTCTGCCAAGGGTATCTGACCACTCCATGTGATGTGACAGAGAGGTCCCAGGGGCAGGAGGCAGGGCCTGTGAGCTCCCCTGTGGGACACCAAGAGCAGCCCGTGGCTGCTCAGTGTGGCTGCTTGCTCCCCTTTTCACTCTCACCCATGTTGTGTAACCTTGGGCAAGTTCCTCAAACTCTCTGTGCCTTGGTTCCCTCATTATCAGTAAAATAAGGACACTATTAGCATCTACCTCCTAGATTGTCACAGGATTCATTGAGCCAATATTTTCAAAATGTTTTGAGCAGAGTCCAGTACAAGATCTGGGCTCTGGGAGTGTTTGAATATCACAAAACTTACATATGAGATAGAGAGAGAGAGAGAGAACCCTTCAGTAGAGAGCCTGGTCACACCACAATCCTTTTTCCTCCACTTCGCCACCCATTAGGATCCTGGGCACCCTTGTGCATATCCTGTGTGTTTTTCAAGCTGCTGGGGCCAGGGCTTGAACCCTGATCCTATGTGGGCTACAGCTTTCTTTGCATGGTGCTTAGCTGCTGTGCTATAGGGCTGATCCCTGTGGAGTAGTATTTCTTTAATGTGGCACTGCAGAAATGAAGCCGGCTGCAGATTACCCATGTGTGCCCTTGGAGTCTGGTCTATCCTGCAAATATTTCCAGAGCACCTGGTTGGTGCCAGGCCAGCCCTAGTTGTCTGGTGTGTGGAGTGGATCTGACCCGCCCTGCCTACAAGGAGCTCCGAGCCGAGGGCACAGGACAGATCCGTCCATGGTTGTGTGATGCTGGAAGGAAATGAACCACTGTGCCGGGCGGTTGTCTTCTAGGGGTATTACGGGGCATTTCATGTCCTTTTTATCTTCCTGTAGTTCCTGAAGAGTCTGCGCTGAATGATAAAAGCCACCCTTCTATTGCGGGCTGGCCATGTGCCACACTGTCCTGGGCAGGTTCCATACACTTTTTTTTCTTAAGTCCTATATGGCACGTGCGATCGCTGGAGAGAGACAGAGAGGGAGAGAGAGAAGAGAGTGAGAACCTTCCCCCCTTCCGGGGTGATGGCCACACCACAATCCCTTCTCTTCCATCTTGCTCTTTGATTTCAGGCATGCATGCAAATATGCCTGGCGTATTTTTTAAACTGCCAAGTCTGGGATTCAATTGTGGAGTTGGTCATGTGGGATCTAGCTGCCTTAGCCACCATGCGACCTGCTGGCCCATTCCATATACTTTTCTCACCGATTACCCAGTAGTTTTATGACGTGGGTCCTGTCATAAACCCCAGTTGGCAGAGGAGAAAGCTGAGGCGCAGGGTCCCACACAGAGTGGCAGGGGCTGAGATTCAAATTCGGTCAGACGGCTCCGGCACTCTGACCTTCAGCCCGACCTGCCTGCCTCTGTGCAAATGGATTTGTGTGTGTAACCGGAATCAACCACAAAGACGGAAAGAAAGCAACCCTCGGGCCAACAAACATTGCAGTTGGCCCAGGGCCTCTCAGCTTGGTCTCAAAGGTCCTGTTATGCTTTTTCTGGGTGCCCTGGTGCCGAGAGCGCTTGGTTAGTATAAGAGCTTGGGGCCAGGGGGCGTATCTTTTCTCTTGCTCCCTCTCAAGACAGTGTGTGTATCCTCCTGATGCTGGAAGGGAGGGCCTTCAGCCATGTGTTCTGTGGTCCTTAAATACCTCCAGCGACAATGGGTTCACTCTTTATCATTTAGTTAGGGTTCTTAGTATATCTATATATTGTTTTTTTCCAAAATTATTTTTAGGGTCAGCATGTAGCCTAGTGGTTAAGGGAGCTGGAACCCATATGGCTGACTGTGGTTTGAATCCTGACTGGCCTTGGTAGCTTGAAAAACATGGTGTGTGTGTGTGTGTGTGTGTGTGTGTTTGTGTATGCATGCATGTGCCTGCACGCTCCAGATCCTGACAGGATGGAGAAATGGAGGAGACAGGATTGTAGTGTGACCATGCCCCAGTGGGGGTGCTTTCTCTCTCGGTCTCTGTCTCTCTCTGGTGAGTACATGTGCCAGCTGGCAATTAAACGTGCCTCAAAGAAGCCTCCTGCTCTGGAATCCTGAGGCTGGGCCTGGTCGGCTGGATTCCGTGTCCCCATGTAGTGACTGGCAGACGGCCTGCTGGTAGATACTGTGAATGCCACCAGGGGGCCCCATTCGGGATGGGCCACTCGGAAGTCATCGTCCATCAATAGCCTGGGGCTGCAGGTAACCAGGACACTGGGTCTCATGGGACACCAATTGTATGAGGGCTGATTGGCACCAGGACCTCAGTGGAATGGGTTGCCATAGAAACTGACCTGCCCTGTCCTCAGGTGCACTGACCTGTCCCTCCGGAGGCCCTGAGGATCCACTGGGCTGCTGAGCAGGTCTCCCCAGGGTCTCCCTAGCCCCACATGCCCTGAGCTTGATGGTCCCCAGGGAGCATGCTGGCCACACCCCCATGTGAGCTGGGCAGCCTGAGGCCCAGAGGGTGCAGGGACTGAAGCTCTTATGGGCGAGCGGGGGTGATTCTGGGCTTGGCGCTGAGCCAGAGCCTTCTCCGGCCAGACAGAGGGGGCTTTGCCCATTCACGGGTTTTCAGAGGAAATGCTGGACAGATTCTGAGGCCTTTGGGATCCACTGGAGAATAACCAGACGCCGTCTCACCAGTGTGTCTAGGATCATGTGGTCTCAGTAACAGCTGGCCTGGTGGGGTGACCTGCCACGTGTATACCTTGTTCAATGATCGCAAGAACTGGGTCACTTACAGATGAAGAAATGAGGCCCAGACAGAAGTTCAGCTGCCCGCCTGAGGTCGCATAGCAGATTAGGGTCCCAGCCGATGACCGTGTCTCCGGAGTCTGACTCCAGTGCCCGCCTTGCCGCCATGCCATCCCTTCCTCACTCTCACTTGTAAACCTCTTTGGGAGGGTCAAGGCTATGTCAGGCCTGGGAGGCTCTTAGCACGGGGCTGCCAGAGTGGGAGGCTGATGAAGAGGGACCCAAGAGTGCCAGCCAGTACGTCTGCCCCTTCTAATCTCCCTCAGCACAGCACTAAGTCTGCTTTGTCCCCGCTCTGCAGATGAGGACGCTGAGGCCCAGAGGGAAGTGACTTGCCTGGGGACACACAGCAGGGAGAGGTGGAGGAGGGCCTCCAGTCCAAGGCCTCGGACCGCACACCTGGTGTTCGTGCCAAGACCCCAGGCTGCCTCCCAGGACGTCTGGGACAGCCCTGCCTTCCGCCAGGTGAGGTGTTGGCTGAGAGGGGTGGGGTACCCCAGTCAGGCTTGGCGTGAGCCAGGGCCAGCCAGGGCCCATGGACGGGAGATGGGAGGCAGAAGGTGTGGCAAGGCGTTGGGCATCAGGAGGAGAGTCCACGGTGGTTCTCTGTTTCCTGATCTCTGGACACAGAGATCTCTCCCACAGAGAGGAGGTCCAGAGCTTGGAAAACTCTTACTCCTTGAATAGTCGGATGGAGAAATGGAGGAGACAGGATTGTAGTGTGACCATGCCCCAGTGGGGGTGCTTTCTCTCTCGGTCTCTGTCTCTCTCTGGTGAGTACATGTGCCAGCTGGCAATTAAACGTGCCTCAAAGAAGCCTCCTGCTCTGGAATCCTGAGGCTGGGCCTGGTCGGCTGGATTCCGTGTCCCCATGTAGTGACTGGCAGACGGCCTGCTGGTAGATACTGTGAATGCCACCAGGGGGCCCCATTCGGGATGGGCCACTCGGAAGTCATCGTCCATCAATAGCCTGGGGCTGCAGGTAACCAGGACACTGGGTCTCATGGGACACCAATTGTATGAGGGCTGATTGGCACCAGGACCTCAGTGGAATGGGTTGCCATAGAAACTGACCTGCCCTGTCCTCAGGTGCACTGACCTGTCCCTCCGGAGGCCCTGAGGATCCACTGGGCTGCTGAGCAGGTCTCCCCAGGGTCTCCCTAGCCCCACATGCCCTGAGCTTGATGGTCCCCAGGGAGCATGCTGGCCACACCCCCATGTGAGCTGGGCAGCCTGAGGCCCAGAGGGTGCAGGGACTGAAGCTCTTATGGGCGAGCGGGGGTGATTCTGGGCTTGGCGCTGAGCCAGAGCCTTCTCCGGCCAGACAGAGGGGGCTTTGCCCATTCACGGGTTTTCAGAGGAAATGCTGGACAGATTCTGAGGCCTTTGGGATCCACTGGAGAATAACCAGACGCCGTCTCACCAGTGTGTCTAGGATCATGTGGTCTCAGTAACAGCTGGCCTGGTGGGGTGACCTGCCACGTGTATACCTTGTTCAATGATCGCAAGAACTGGGTCACTTACAGATGAAGAAATGAGGCCCAGACAGAAGTTCAGCTGCCCGCCTGAGGTCGCATAGCAGATTAGGGTCCCAGCCGATGACCGTGTCTCCGGAGTCTGACTCCAGTGCCCGCCTTGCCGCCATGCCATCCCTTCCTCACTCTCACTTGTAAACCTCTTTGGGAGGGTCAAGGCTATGTCAGGCCTGGGAGGCTCTTAGCACGGGGCTGCCAGAGTGGGAGGCTGATGAAGAGGGACCCAAGAGTGACAGCCAGTACGTCTGCCCCTTCTAATCTCCCTCAGCACAGCACTAAGTCTGCTTTGTCCCCGCTCTGCAGATGAGGACGCTGAGGCCCAGAGGGAAGTGACTTGCCTGGGGACACACAGCAGGGAGAGGTGGAGGAGGGCCTCCAGTCCAAGGCCTCGGACCGCACACCTGGTGTTCGTGCCAAGACCCCAGGCTGCCTCCCAGGACGTCTGGGACAGCCCTGCCTTCCGCCAGGTGAGGTGTTGGCTGAGAGGGGTGGGGTACCCCAGTCAGGCTTGGCGTGAGCCAGGGCCAGCCAGGGCCCATGGACGGGAGATGGGAGGCAGAAGGTGTGGCAAGGCGTTGGGCATCAGGAGGAGAGTCCACGGTGGTTCTCTGTTTCCTGATCTCTGGACACAGAGATCTCTCCCACAGAGAGGAGGTCCAGAGCTTGGAAAACTCTTACTCCTTGAATAGTCGCTTTCACTCACTCAGTCAGGTGTTTACTGAGCACCTACTATGGGGCCATCCCCTGGGAACACAGCAAGGAATGAAACAGACAGAAGCCCATGATGGCAACCAGATAGTCACATGAGTGTTTAAGAAAAAAATAAATAAAATCTGGGTCACATGTTATCAAGGAGTGGTGTGAAAGCCGGAGGGACTTAGCCTGGTGGCAGGATTCAGAGGACTGGAGAACTGTGGGAGGCACGAGTGCCCCTGGGGAAGTGGTGGAGAACAACATTCCCGGCCGTGCGAGCAGGGTGTGCAAAGGCCCTGCGGCTGGCGGGCCCCCGCGGCTCCTTCACACCTGCCGGCTGCGGCCTGGGTGGCCGGTGTCAGCACCTTTGCTCCAGGGTTAGACATTCCAGCCGTCGTCTGTAAAATGGGTGGGCCGAGGGCCCCTCAGAGGCCAGGCTGCCTCTCTCCAGAGCTCACCGAGGTCTGCTCTCTTCCCCAGACAGGACCATGGGCAGCAACAAGAGCAAGCCCAGGGACGCCAGCCAGCGGCGCCGCAGCCTGGAGCCCGCCGACAGCGCCCACGGCGTCCCCGGCGGGGCCTGCCGCACCGCGC